CCGTTATTTTCAGAGAATCACTCATGTATGTACTTGATAATGTTAATCATTTTCAACCTCCCTTTTAACACAAACTCTCTACTAAAAGAAATTAGAACAGAAGAAAGAAGATATAATATGTACATGTAGAAGGCTTTAAGCACAGTAAATTGGTGTCTAACACACAAATTAGGGAGTTCGTTCTACTAAAGCATGAGGTGAAAGTAGGAGTTTGACTAAGTGGAAAGCATAGTTGCCTGGAGAAAATAATATAGTTGCAAATTACTCCTTTTACCAGTGGACTTCTCACACTCTGGAGTAGATTTCTGAGATGAATGAGCCCACAAATCCCACTTTTGAACATCCTCTAATTCTCAACCAATTATATTGTGGCATGAGTATGGAAAAAAAATGAAGGGTACGGCTGGGGACAAGGGAGGAGTGACTGTAGGCAATGCATACAGGCTATGAAAGAAGATATAAAAGCAATTTCTTTCTGGTTCTCACTCATTGATTTTTCATTTTGGGTGATGAATAAGATCAAATACATTCCATAGTGAAGTGTATAATCTGATATGAAACTTCCCAGTGCCCATTCTGATAGGCGACTACTCTGAAGTTCAGTTTTGGGCCTGGATAATTTCAGTGTATGAGATTTCTTTTTATTATTTGTAAAGGAGGCTTTTCCTTGCTAGCCTCTTTGGTTTATCCCCGTCAGCCTCTTGGGCTCTGCCGCGTTGTAGTCCTCAACACACAAGACGATGTATTAATTATGAAGCTGTTGGCCTTGCTTCTTTCTTACTGGCTAGCTCTGACTTAAGTATTTACCCCATAATTGTTAATCTAAGTATTTCTCTTATCAGAGAGAAGTTTCCGGGCTTCTTATCCCTATCAGTTACATCTTGACTCCCTGTGTTTCTCCTACCCAGAGTCCTCCTGGATTCCTAGTCCCACCTATCTTGTTTCCCTATTGGCCAACAGTGTTTTATTGACATATACACAGGACTTCCCCAACTTATTATTATTTGCAACTTTATAAAAAAGGAAGTTAACTTAAAAAAAAGAAATTGCATTTTGTCAATATTTACAATATTTACAACATACCTGTTAGGGTATGTGTCATGCACAGCGGACAGCAACTGTCAGCAGGCAGGTTCCAGGGCACAAAGAATAGTGTGGCCTGAAACCCCAGTATGCAGGAAGCCGGAGTGGTTATTCCATGAATACATTCAGAGCACTGGACACCTGACTGCCTTCAAACGAAGGTCCTACCATGAGAACAAGACTACTTGTTTTGTAAAAATAGGAGAAGTCCGAATAAACACTATAGGATCGGAAAGAAAACAATGATTAAAAGCAAAACCACTTTCCTTTAATGGATGGGTGGAAGTGAGGGGAAAGAAATGACCACTGAGAAAAAGCTCCTGGTTGAAATAGAAAGCGGTAACAAGCTAAGCACAAAGAGCGCTAACACTGGTCTGTTTTTAATTGATTTTAAAAACTTAGTCATTATCATTTAAGGAAATGATTGCCTTATCATAAGAACTAGTGGGAAAACACCGGACTGTGCCAGAAGCATTAGGGAGCATTAACTAAATCGGGATAAAGTGGAAAAGACGTGGCTGATTAATTTTACTAGAGTAGTTAACAGCTTCTGGCTGTTCCAAGGGCTAATGCAGAGAATCGGAATTCCTGGATAACGAGGGAGAGTTACTTGATTTCCTGTCTATTAATAACAGGGGGGCACAAGCCCTGGTAATTAAGGGGCAGCCACCTAAACGTCGCTGCCCAGAGGGAAGTGAATCATTGAACAATCAATTTGCAATCACAGATAACTGAGACTAGAGCAGGGACTGGCATGCCTTTCAGAGAACAATTTCGTTTCAGGATAATGAAATCATGCTAGAGAAGATGGACCTCCAGAGACGCAGATTAGAGATCTAAAATGGGGAGCTTGACCTCTTGACCTCAGTGTTATATGAGAGTCTAAGACCCAGAGGCGGTCTTTAAAATTATTAAAATTGAAATAGACTGTTTGCAAGACAAAAGTCTGCTCATGCCACAGATATTTGAGACGGTTTTCTCTTTCATTCAGCAGGAGCTCCAGGTCTCCTGCTTTCTCCCAGTTTCCCAGACTGCACGGATGCAGACACACCTCTGTGACTAGCCCCTGAAGCAGCACAGATGTGCACATAAACAATCTTATCAGTCACCTCCTAACAAACGCCTGTGGGAGAGGAAACACTGCCAACATAATCACTCCAGCCTTACACTGAATGATAAAAATCAATCTTGGCAACCAATTAGTGTGTTGATGTGTTTGGCATAATTTCCCCAGGATGGGTGTGATGGTATTATAACCTACCATAAAAAAAAGATAAGAGTCTTCACCCCTAAATATGACACACATTCGCTTGGTTTCAATCTTCCCAAAACTGAATGGCATTGTTTGTTTTAACTAACGGTATGTCTCTAAAATGAATGTCTCCAGAAAAGTCTACATAAAGCTATTCACTGCAGACCTGGCTATTTTTCTTTTACCTGAAGAAACAATTAGTTTAAAAATATTAGTTATCTGGACTCAGTATTTTATAGAAATGTTATCAGGTCACTTCAGGAGTTCAATATTAAAACACATCTATCAGTGTTTGAACAAAAATGTCACAAAACTCTCATGAAAATATGAATTAGAAACTTAAAGCTGTTAATAGCACTTGTTGTAAAGTGAAGTCTTACTTTTTACAAGGAGTAAACAAACAACAAAAACAGTAGTGATCCAAATAAAAACCATAGCAAATACAGTGTGAACAATCAACTAGATTGCAAAGATAGTTAGATTATTTCTGCACAGAATCTGCATTGACAAAATGATCTTGATCTTACTTTGCTTCAAGAACTGGGACAAGTCATAATCGAAAATACAGTGTAAGTCATACATGCAAAAAGAAGTTCAGTACTAACAAGACAAAGCATACAGAACAACAAGTTCACTTTAGTGCATTAAAATTGTGCTGGGAGAATTAAATGACCCAGTACTTAAAGTTCTGTGGTCACTGCCTTAAAATGACCAAAACACATTCCCTAAGCATGGAGGCAGGGAGGAAAAATGTGGCCAAATGAAGCGGTAGAAGGAATGGGCTCTGCAGCCACGACGTGGGGAAACAAAACGCCCCGAAGGAAGGCCAAGGTGTCCACTGAGGCAATTAGTGAGGCTAGAAGAACAATTTCAGGGCGATTAAGGTGGGGTGAGGCTTGATCTCCTGAGCTGGAGAATTTCTGCACTTGGCCCTTGTAAACGGGTAAACGGTAACCCGGGAGGGGGGGTGTTACTCAGCAGCGTGGGGAAGGAAGGGGTAAACGAAGCAGGTGAACAGTGCCAGAACTGCTTTGTTGTACAAATGTAGACACTTTTCTTGGAGAACTCCACCTAAGGATGAAGCTGCTCCATCCCAGCCCAAGGGTCGTCAAACCTTGCACCAAGTAGAGAAACTGTGTCAAGGGTTTGAAGTATTTTCCATCCAAAAAGCTTGTAGAATTATTGACTTTTCCTACTACACAGACCTCAAACAAATGACAAAAAAAATTACACAGACTGAACGCAAGAATTTACAGATGAAGATTTTTTAAAAATGTAGTGTAGCGTATGAACTGCATTTCATCAAATGCTTAATCTTTCATTTGCAGGTCAAGAGATTCTCGCTCATCTTTGTTAGAAATATTGTCAATAAACCAAGCTCACTTCAATTTGAATAATATGCCAAGAAAAATGATAGTTCAAAGTAGGAAATAGTAGATCTTAGAAGGAAAATTCATGCGGACATAACTATTTTACCCACTCAGTTGAATGTGATGACTACTTTCAGTAAGTGTAAATAAACATTTTAAAATGCAGTCCAATACCCAAACAACATAATAAAAAGATTTTAGTCAGATTACCAAATACTTTATTACCACTTACAGTTTTTGTTTTCAAAGTCATTTTCTGTGAATACTCATAGTCTATGATTTACTATTATTATTATAGATATCTGCATTTAAAGTGTACTGCCATATGTATTTATCAGAGTAATTTAATTTGTTTGATGATTCTATCTGGTTTCTGTTTATTTTGAAATCATTTCATATCCCAACTGCAGCTTCCCCTACCCCAGTCACTCCCTCCCAACATCCCCTCTTGTCCCCCATTCCTTCTTCCTCTACTTCTATTCAGCAAATGGCAGGGCTACCAGGGATACCAACAAAACAAGTTGTAGTGACATCATGAACAAGCCCCATGTCATTTATCTCAAAAGCTAATCAAGGTCTGACCTGGTTATTACTTGAATAGTAAATGTTTTTAAATGAGCATGCCATTGTGATAACTAAGCCATCAGATACCAACCACATGGAATTCTTTTTTTAACAGATAGCTGAAAACAAAGTTAATTTCCACAGATACAAACATATCACGTAAGGTTTCAAATCTTAACAGAGGGAGTGTGTGGGAATAAAAAGTGTATTTTAGCCGGGCGGTGGTGGCGCACACCTTTAATCCTAGCACTCAGGAGGCAGAGGCAGGCGGATCTCTGTGAGTTCGAGGCCGGGCTGGACCGACAGCCTCAAAAACAATACAGAGAAAACCTGTCTCGTAAAAAACAAATAACAAAAAAAAGTGTATTTTATCTCATGCTTTAGAAACACTCTCTCCCTCTATCCCCTCTCTCTCAATCTTATTTTTGCATGAGTATTGAGGTTACATTGAGCTTGCTCACAGTTTAATATTCAAAGATCCTTAATAAAACCAACTAAACAGATGGTAACAATTTCAAGGTTGGTATGTTTAAGTTGAACAAGTGGATGGGAAGAAAGTTTTAAACCAGCAGGTGGTGCCCTCAAAGCGGCATGGTTAGAAAGATAAGACTAGTCGTAGAAACTCAAAAGCGTGAGCCTCTAATTTATGTTGTAAACTATCAACAGTGGAGGACCCATTCCAGTTCGGGCAGAAGAAAGCAAGGAAACAAAGGAGTTTCACACGGGCTTACCTTTGAACCACATTCTCCCCGTTCCAGCAGGGCCTGCCTTCAGCCGCAGCTAACTCGGTAACGCAAAGCTGGTCAGCCAGGCCACCGTAGAAAGACCTGTGCAGTCTAAGGCTGTTGATGAATTCTCTGGATGGGAAAAAAATGGTTTTTTTTTAATTCATAGAGAAGATCCGCATATACATTACCACAAATACCTTGTAGAATGCTGGACTTTACTTATTCATGTTTACATAAGGCATTTTTCTAACAATCAGTAAAATCGTTATCCTATAAATGTCATATTAATGTTTAAACTTATTTTTAGAATAGAAAAATTTCTCTGGCTATACGACATATTTTAAAGAAGATTTTAGATATCATGTATCTACATATACATACATGCACACACACACACACACACACACACACACACACACACACACACCACTATTCATTCAGTCTCCCTAAATCCCTCCCCAGCTACTGGCATCTAAACACAAAGACACAAATTATTTTCTATTCCATGTGGAAAACATCAGGCTTACAATATGCTAATGAATTTCCTAGTGAATAAAGGTTTATTCAAGTTATATCATGTTTCTGAGTATTTGGTAACAAGGAATACAAAGTAGTAAGTTTTTACTATACATGATGACTCTAAGGCCTAAATATAAAATATTCCAGAAGTACTAAGGTAAACTTTAATAGAGTGAAAAATGTTTAATGAATCAACTAAGGTTTGTTTTGTGTGTGTTTTCTTTATCCATAGTCTATTTCTGCTGCGCCTGAGATTACAGAAGGGAAAATTCAATGATAATGAAGAATTTTGCATATGTTCCTTAGAAGAGAATCACTTTTGAGTTTTAAAATCAGGACTTGGAAGGACAAAGAATGTTTGCTATGCAAATTCAAATGCTAGTGTACAGATAACCAGAATTCATAAAACCTAGGCAAGTGTGGTGGCCATTTGTAATCTAAACACACAGGAAGCAGAGACAAAATATCTCGGAGGCAAGCTTGAGAGATGGAGTAGACATATCAGAGCACTCTGGCTTCAGCAAGAGACTGTCAGCAGCTAAAATGGAGAAGGACAAATCATCACTTTCAGACCTCTCATGTATATGTGTATTTGTATATATCCATCTACACATAAACATGGACCCACATACATGCAAACACTAACACACACACACACACATGTAAGTAGTACACTCACACAAAAATGGAGAATTAGTGTGTAAAGAAAGAAACTCAAGATAATTTCTAGCAAAGATCACTGAGGTAACATCATTCACTGATACACACAAGGAAGAAACAGCCACTCTTATCCTGTTCAATGTTTTTACCTTGCCTGATACACTCTCTAACCTAGTGTGTGTTGTGTGTGTGTGTTGTATATTGTATGTGCAATATTTTCATTACACTTTGCAGTTTCTTATCTTTCTTCCTGCTTTAGATAAAACATTCAAGCAGGCGGGTGTTCTTCTGTTTGCTTGTTTTGTTTTATTCATTGCCTTACATGACAGAGAGTAGGTCTAATCAACAATCATCAGATTAATAAATGACCAAAGACCAAAGAATTAATCAGAGTGTTTGGTTTGAACATTTTGTGAGGATGCCCATCTAGAGAATCAAGTAAAATGCTACTTTTCAAACTCCATGAGTACAAACATCATGCCACCATGCAGGTGTAGACCTAATAACTACAAAATGGTACCAAAATTCTGTATTTCATAAAGGTTGGTGGATGCCGTTGATGCCACCAGTTTTTGCTCTTAAATATTAGACTTTGAACCTTGACAGACTTGGTGATGTCTGGAACTTCAACCAGGAAGGTGGTGAGCAACGCCATGGATATTAGTGGAATTTCTCAGACAAGCCCTATGCATTAAGAAAAAAGATTCTCTCAATAAGGGCAGGGGGTGGTGGAAGCAAAGTCCAAAAGTCATGCAAACACAAGAACCAGGGGAACTGAAGTTAGCATAATTGTCCACAGTGTGAAACACTGTGTCGATTAAACATGGTGACTGGTCTGACCCACCCACAAACAATACATTGCTGTTACTCTTGGTTGGCACTTCAGATAGATGCTAACGTCCTGTTTTAGAAGAGTATTGTAATTTTAAAAGGTGGCAGGAGAGAGAAAGACACCATACATCAGAGCTCACATGGGGGGTTATTAGGGAAAAGGGATTGGAAAAAGGAGGGAGGAAAGGGGGAAACTGGCTTCTGGAGACAGGAGCAGCAGAAGAGAAGAGAGAGTAAGAGAGACAGAGAGAGAGAGAGAGAGACAGAGAGAGAGAGAGAGAGAGAGAGAGAGAGAGAGAGAGAGAGAGAGAGAGAGAGAGAGAGACAAAAAGAGAGACAGAAGGTGGGCAGGGCCCTTTTAAAAGGGAACATAGTGAATATGCATAGGTGTTGCTCTTAGAGGCTGCAATTGAGGGCTGATCCTATCAGATCCCCAAAGGCAGGCCAGTACAGATGCCTGAACATTAACAAAGAGAACACATGCTGTTGTTTCAGGACATAGAAATCAAGCTGGTGCTGAATGACACACGAAACTTCCTCCTTACCTGCTGCTTCTTTTCCCATGGGGCAGAATGTAATATGCAGTTCATTGAGGAAGGAGAATCATCAGTAGACTTAGGCAGATAGGGAATTTGCAAAATACTGATCTCCCAAGTAAACTGTGCCAACAGGTACAGTAATGACATGCCAGTTATAACTGTTTTTTGAGTGGATTTGCCATCACCTACTCAGTAGGAAATTCTGTCTGGTTGTGCACATGTAGTCCAAATCCCATAACAAGCAAGGTTGTAGGCCCTGTGTTGTAACCTACTGTGGCTATTTTGCTTAATATATATGGTGCTCAAATCACCCTCTAAACATTTATATTATACCTATAGATACAGATAAAATGTTATACATAAATATACTTATAGCTATAGATTAGTGTTACTATCAACCTTGGCCAGAGAAGCATCTTTTTGCAATGTTCAATAGTCAACGCAGAGTCTCTCAACAAGAAAAAGTGATAAAGCCCTCAATGGAACATCTGTAACAACCCTCCAATGTTCAGGGAACATTGCAGAAAAAGAGGTAGACATAATGTAACAGTGTAAGATGGAGAAGATGAAACATTCTGTCATCTAGAGCTGACATGCCTGTTGTACTCATGAACTCACTGCTGCTAGGGTTAGCAGAAAAAGACTTACACATAAGATCAAGACAATCAACACTCAAGCATGGATGGGAGAGAGGCTTTCAAGGCTCCAGCCATAACTGATAACTGAGGAGATGCAGCAGCTGATAGCTACTAGTAGGAAGGGAGTCATTCTCTTGAGGGCTAGCATACAGCCTGTGGTAAGCTGCCTATTCCCTAATGGATGGCCCCACAAAGATAAACACTAATTGGATTCAGGGTTTGTCGTTGCTGCTTTTTGTTTGTTTTTAAGGAAGAACAACACATACGGTGGGGATAGTATTGGGCGATGTTTGGAGAAAGGGGAAGGAGACTCCATCCAGTTTGGCATTGTCTTAGTTGCTATTTTATTGCTGTGATAAAATACCATGACCAAGGCAACTTACACAAGTGTTTAATTTAGGTTTATGATTTCAAAGGGTTAGGATATGTGGTGGCCAGGCACAGGTAATGTGGGAAAGCACCTGAGACCTGTTGACCCAGAAGCAAAAGGCAGAGTTATGGAGACGGAATGGTTGAATCTTTTGAAATCTCAAAGCCTGTACCCAATAAGGTCACCTCTTCCAACAAGTTCTTATCTCCTAAGCCTTCACAAACTTTTAGATGAACTGTAGACCAAGTATTCAAGAGATGAAGCTATCGGGGCTATTCTCATTCAAACCACCAGAGATATAATCAAGATAAATTATGTGTATGAAATTGTCAAATAATAAGATATTATTCTAAAAATGCAGTTTCACTGATGGGGCTGGATGGGTGGACATACATCTGTAGGTGGGGGGCTAAAAATCACACATCGAACATCTCAGGTACAAAGAGGAAAAAAAGCAGCATAAGTGGTTGTTTGGAAATAGATAGTAGACACGTTACCTGCTTCAACGTTACCAACTGGTACTGGTCCTTGTGCTTTGAATGTGAAATGAAGCCCATAGTCTCGTGTGTTTGAGCTTCCAAGGACAGCGGTGTTTTACAGGGAGGTCATGAATACTTTAAGAGATGGAATCTGACAAGTAGAAGTGAGTCAATGGGGGGGTGTCCTTGAGGATTAATAGCTGGTCATACTTCCTGTTCACTCTTTGGTTCCTGAGTATGGATGTAATGTGACTAGCCAGCTTCCTGCAACTGGTGGCATACCTTTCCTACCATGATACACTGTATCCCTCTGGAATTATAAGCTAAATAATGCATTTCTTACTTAAGCTGTTTCAGCCAGGGTATGTTATTACCTAAACAATAAAGCAATCCCTATCTTTTCCCCAGCTCAGTGCTAAGACTGTTTTGTACGTGTGATTCCATTTCCAGTTTACACGAAAAATTTCAATAAAAGAAGTATTATATTCTTGAAAACTATTCTATATTTAAATTTCCATGGGTGTGGCTAATCCATATATTTATTTTTCTATCATCATGAAGATGATATAGTTTAAATTTGGAAGCATAATAAATGCAGGAGAAAGTTAAAAGCTCTTGCTAATTATCCTTCAGTAGTTCTGTTACTTATGTCAGTTTTTCATCTTGGCCTAGAAACATCACTAAAATATAGAAGTCATATATAATTCATATGAGCAATTGAATTGCAATATTGAAAAAGATATGGGGAAAGCATTCCCTGTCTGAGAATGTATTCAAAGTATCACCTATCAGGTCCATATAAAAATGTGCAAATTCTTCAGCCTTCAAACTTCACAGATGGGCCAGGCCTCTTAATGTTTGCCCTTTCTCTTTCCCTCCGATGCATTTTCTAATCTATCCTGAGAAGCAACACTGGAGATGGTGAATACCATTTTTGATTCTTTTAAGCACACGGTAATTTAGGTAAGAATGTCTTGCGGTGGCCGGGACATCTTCACACGCCACCCTGTAGCCCCGCTCCATGCCAGCCCTTCTTGCTTCCAGCCCCGTACTCCAGCCAAAGGTCACATTTTTACTGCATAAACTTTACCTG